GGCAGTGGCCAAAAGTAAATTTCCATCTTCCAGAGTTGAAAAGTTCAGGTTCTCTAAGCATTCTATATTGCAGTGGCCCTTGTCCAGAATTGGTACCTCCTCATTATTGGGGAACTTTAAATGGACCAGTGAAAAAATCTTTTTCCCCTTCAAGGGGAAGAAAGAAAATTACTCCTCAAAACCAGCTGATCTGGCTGTAAGGTCTTTCCTTTTGTCCCATCTCTTCAGGCTCTTTTTTTCTCCTTCTTTTTGTTTTGCAGTAGAGCAAGAGAGACCAAAACCTAACCTGAGTTACAAGAAACATGACAGTGATGACTATAAAGGGAGTGTTAAGGAGCAACTGAGGTAACTCCTCTACCTCCCACATCCAATGTATGTGCTTCACAGAAAAACAACAAAAATAACAAATCCACAAAATACAACAGCTAGAAATACAAAATCCTTTCATGCAAGGGTGCTGGAAGGCAGGAAAAAGATGGGAGGGAAAATGGCACAGGGAGAAAAACAAAGTATTCAAATCAGTCCAGGCACAGGGGCTGGCAAATGCTAGAAAATAGCTGCAGGAAAACCTGTGGTCCTTTTAGACTCATGGTGGTAGTAAAAATCCACATACTGGTGTCAAGAAAATTCTGCCTAACATGCACCAGAGTCAAAAATCCCAATTCCTCAAGGAGAAGGGAAAATGCAGAGGGCCCTTGGCAGAGTGGATTCTGCCTTCCCTGGCATGGGAGAACAGAGAAAAGAGCTGCCACAGCCTCCATCCAATTCCACCCATACCCTCTGGAGAGCAGGCAACTCAGTGGCCTGCAGCAGCCTTCAGTTTGGCAGGAGATGGATGTGGTGAAGGGAACTTCTCTGCAGAGGTGGAGCTGCTCAGAGCAGACTGCAGGTAAACTGTCTTGTGGAAGAGTCTGTTGCTTAAGAAGACCACCAAGGAGAAGAGGCGCAACTGGAAAAGGTATGATTTTCCAGGGGGTCTTTGCTTCATTGGCGCTGATAATGAATAAAGGAAAGAATAGAGAAGAGGCAGCCACTGACAATGTATGAGGACTGCATTGCTGTGAGGAAAGCCAAGGGCAAACCAAACCCAAAGTAGTAAGGCCAGTTCCTTTCCATGTTTGACAATTGCTGGTGCATTTCAATTCCTTTATTGAACCAACGATATTCAAAGCAGTACAGGGAGAAGAGAAGGGACATATGCAGCAGACTAACCAGCTGACCAGCAAGATGGATGGGAAAGAGACTCACAGACACCCCCGGAAAAGGAAAGGAGCCTGTAGCAGAAGCCTGAAGAGCATGCCAGCAGTTATTTCGCTTCCTCCCTGACACCTCAAATGCCAGGTCGGCCGTATCTTGAAACCAAATGGCATTCACAACTTTGCTAAGCACAAACGGGGAGCACCCAAAGCACTGAAAACTGATGTGAGGAAGAATTCCAGCCACGACCAAACAGCTCCATGCAGTGATGGATCACCAATAATTCAGGCTGTTACTGACTGAAGCACAGGAATAAACACTGGATAAAAACAAGAGGAGACTGAGCCAGAATACTCCGCCATTCCAAGCACAGCGCTGGAAGATTCTACGAACAATACGTGACTCTCTCCTGCTTCCCTCTATCCTCTGGGCTCTACGCTGAGCTAGGACACTACTTGCCCTTCTTCGACGCTGTTCCTCTCTCTTTTGCTGGATTCGAGCGTCTAGCTTTGAGATGGTACAAATACCCCAGATGGAGTCTTTGATTCCCCTGCCAAGGTCCTGGAGAAAGGTTTTGACACTGTCAGCCATCTCTTCACCACCCAGACTATCAACTACACAGAGGAGAGAGAAATGCCCCAAAATCTCTCGTCATGAAGGACCCCGCAGCCCTGCCGTTGCGGCTCCAGCCCAGGCGCCCACCCCAACCCCAGCCGCTGGGCTCCTCCGCGCTCGGCCACTGCTCCGCCGGGCGCTCCCAGGGCCCGGGCTGCACGGGGCCGCTGAGAAGTCGGGCGGGCACCAAGCTGGGTCGCTGAGTGGGGGCCCAGCAAATACATTTTTAAATGTCTTAGTAGATGTTCAAGATAAACCATCCCCAAGAGATACAGGTAGGTTTACAAAGTAGATTATTTTTGTGGTAGATAATGAAGTGTCTTTACCTTCGCCATGGGCTTTCCACTCTGTACCTATACTGACTTTCAAGTGTTTTGCATAGCTCCGAGCACATCATAGTCATGCAGTAAATATTGTTACTAGCCATCCTGAACTGTGTAAGTCCTTCCTACCTTAAACATCAGCTTTCATCCTGGGCACATCCATGGCAAGTAAGGATAACTAGGCATTTCTACTGTGTTTTCCCAAAGTGCTATGAGAGGGACTGTTTTTTTTTTTTTTTGGCAGTACTGGGGGTTGAATATACGTTCTCACACTACATAGGCAGGCATACTACCACTTGAGCCATTCTTCCAGTTCTTTTTGCTCTGGTTATCTTGGTGATAGGGTCTCACTTTATGCCCAGGCTGGCCTGGACCTGATCCTCCTATTTATCCTTCCTCAAGAAGCTGGGATGACTGGTACACATCAGTGCATCAAACTATTGATTGAGATGGGGTCTTGTGAACATTTTGCCTGGGCTGGCCTCAAACCGGGAACATCCTGATCTCTGTCTCTGGAATAGCTATGATGACAGGCATGAGCCAGTGTGCCTGGCCTATTTTTTATTTTTATTTTTGGTGGTACTGGGGTTTGAATGCAGAGTCTCATGCTTGCTAGGCAGGTGTTCTACCATTTGAGCCACTCCCCAGCCTGAAAGGGATTCTAACTGGAACTTTTCACACCCTGCTTTGTCAGGGCCTAATAGGATAGATAACTTTTAGGGCAAGGCTCAAAACAGCTATCCTAAGCCTATTTCATTGGAAATACAACTCAGTCACTATTATTGAACTATGGATATTTTCAAATAAAACGTATGCCCCAAGATAACTTTAATCACAAAGTATATAACTAAAATCATGATGTATGGTAGCATTTACAATAATAGCTAAATTTATTATGCATTCTAGCCTCTATTATCAGTGAATGCTTTTTATGTGCCAGCAACTCTACTCTCTTTTCATATATTAACTCATTTAATCATACAATAAGCCCATGGGGAAGGTACAATTATCTCCACTTTATTAATGAGAAAAATGAAACAAAGAGGGGTTAAATAACTTCCCGATGGCCATACAAGTAGCAAACAGCAGAGAATGTAGATGTCAGTTCTGGTGTCTCTGACTCCAAAGCTTCTTTTCTTTCTTCCTTTCTTTCTTAGTTTCTCTCTATCTCGTTTGGTGGGACTGGGGTTTGAACTCAGGGCTTCACACTTGCAAAGCAGGAACAAACAATGCAGATGCTACACCACTTGAGCCACACCTCTAGTTCATTTCGCTCTGGTCATTTTGGAGATAGGGTCTCACCAACTATTTGCCTGGGCTCATCTCGAACTGGGATCCTCTGGATCTCAGTCTCCCAAATAGCTAGGATTACAGGCATGTATCACTGGCACCTGGTTTCTGTTCTTTGTTCTACTATCTAGAATGTTCTATTTCCATGATTCACCTCCACCAGGTAAAAAAATGAAAAAAATCAGGAGCAATGCACTAATCCTGGAATTAATAAATAACAATTTCAAAGTGCAGGGTATAGGTTACCTTGTCAGAATCCTGAATTATTTTGACATTTTCTGTACCAAATTTTTCACCATAAAGTTTAACAAGTCTCAAGGAAATCTCTGAGAGTCCAGTGAGCTTTGGCTCTTTATAGATGTATTCCTTTCCATCCTCTTCTTCAAAAAAAGACTATTACAGAGGTAAAGAAATAAGAGTTTGTAAATAGTATGAACACAGCATTTAAAGAAAATCTATTAAATACCTAGCAATAATAAATTTGAAATAATATTACTAAAAGTCACATAGGTGTTCACTCAACTTGAAATAAATGAGGATTTTCAAATTCATTATCATATGACCATATTATTGGCCTAAAGAAAATCTGAATGTTAGCATTTCCTTCTTCCCTGTATCTTCTGTTTTGTATTTGAAATCTTTAACTATTAGATATTTAATCTATACTTTAAGAAGCTTAGCAAAATACGAAACCGAGAGAGAAATCCAAACCTTATATGTTGTACTCTGACTTAATCATTTAGATATGAGAACCAAAATGAACTTTAAAATTACTAAAGAAGCACCCTGATGTTGTGTAGGTTCCCTAGAGAGACACAACCCAGGAACTAATAACTGCTGCTATAGTAATCTAGTAAACCAAACGTGAATGTTTAAAAAGAAAAATAATTTTTATAAACTAAAGTATACTTACTTGGCCATAAAAGGCAACTCTGAAGAAAGTACCTAAAAGTCTTTTTTTGGTGTGCATAACCTCCAAAATTTTTGTGTAAGCACCATGAAGAGTTCTGTAAACTTGAGTAAGTTTCTGAAAAAGGAGAATATATAAGTCAGCCTTGTCTTCTGGTAAATCATTAAGATGAATGTACAAGAATAAAAAGCACGAATGATCCTTTTCAAAATTGTTTTGGTGGCACTGTTCACACCATCTTCTCCCATTGTCACAATTAAGACAAAAGTCCTCAACAACTTTGGGTCAAAGGGTAGAACTTAAAATAGCAAAGTAACATTGAATTTCTTAATATCATGGTTCATTTTATTCACATCACAATGGCAATTTATATTTTTAAAATATTGTGTTATCTGGATTCAATTCCCAGCAACATAAAACATAAATAAAATATTGTATCATCTGCTATTTTCTATTTGTTTGAATTATTTTAAGTGAAAGGGCAGCACAATGCTCTGCTTGAGCCCTTAGATAGAGATATTAGAATAAACACTCTGTGCAAAAGTTTTTGGTGAGGAAAATAAAATGAAGACACAAAAATAATTTCACACAAGTTCAGAGATATTTCTCAAGAATATGTTCTTCTGCATACCCAGCAAAAAGAGAGCACAGTGTAAAAAGAATATTATTTTTTAATATTTATTTTTTCTCTTTTATTAGCATACATTAACTGTACAAAGTGAAGGGTTTCATTGTGATATTTCTGCACATGCATATAATGTACTTTGATCAAATTCATCCCCTCTATTACTCTTCTTACCTCTTCCACCCTTTATTTAACAATTTTAATGAATATTTTCACATGTATATGGAGTATTTTGATCATATTCACCCCCTTCACCCTCTCCTCCCAAAGAACATTATTAAAAATATGAAAAGACAGCCTACACAATGTAAGAAAATGTTTGCAAATGAAAGCCCTAGTCTTTGTCAACTGAGGCCAATAGGAAAAGGGGACCAGGAACTAGAGAAAAGGTTAGATCAAAAAGAATTAACCTAGAAGGTAACACCCACGCACAGGAAATCAATGTGAGTCATGGCCCTGTATAGCTATCCTTATCTCAACCAGCAAAAACCCCTTTTCCTTCCTATTATTGCTTATACTCTCTCTACAACAAAATTAGAGATAAGGGCAAAAATAGTTTCTGCTGGGTATTGAGGGGGAGCGGAGGGGTGGAGTGTGGTAAGGAGGGGTGGGGCAGGGGGGAGAAATGAACCGAGCCTTGTATGCACATATGAATAATAAAAGAAAAATGAAAAAAAAAAAAAAGAAAGCCCTAGTCTTTGTACTCAGAATATATATAGAACTCATAAAACTCAACAAGAAAAAGACAACTCAACTTTAAAAATGGGCAAAGGCCTTGAACAGACATTTCTCCAAAGAACATACACAAATGCCCAACAAGCATATGAAAAGATGCTCAATATTCTTGGTCACTGAAGAAATAAAAATCAAAATCACAATGAGAGGGCTGGGATATAGCTTGGTGGTAGGGTGCTTGTCTAGCATGCATGAGGCCTTGGGTTTGATCCCAGCACCAAAAAAAAAGAAAAAAATCACAGTGAGATACTACTTCTCACTCACTAGAATGTCCTCAACAAAACAGAAAACCAATTTGGTGAGGATAGGGAGAAACAGAAACTCTAGTACATTGCTGGCGGGGGGGCGGGGATGTAAAATAGTGAAGCTACCGGAAAACAGCTTGGTAGTTTCTCAAAAAATTAACCATAAAATTACCATATGACCCAGCAATTCCCCTCCTAGGCATATATCCAAAAGAAGGGATCATGTAAGTCCACAGAGAAACTTGTAAATGAATGTTCACAACAGCGCTATTCATAATAGCCCCAAAGTAGAAACAACTCATGTCTGTCAATGAATGAATGGATATTGTTGTATATCCATCCAATGAATAGATAAGGTTTAATATCATCCATGTATTTCATACACATGTATGCAAGTACAATATTGAAACCCATTAAAATGTCCAAAAAGGAGGGAGGAAGGTAAGAAAGATGACTAGAAGGGGTAAATCTGATCAAAATACATTATATGTATACATGAAACTGTCACAATGAAACGCCTTTGTACAACTGATATATTCTAGTAACAAAGGAATGAAGTTCTAATACATGCTACAACTTGGATGAACCTCTAAATATTATGCTAGGTGAAGGAACCCAGTCTTAATGGTCTTATTGTATATGATTGTTTGTATGATAAATCCAGAATAGGCAAGCCCAAGGAGACAGAAAGCAGATTAATGGTTATTGGGGAATGGGAGTTGGGGGGTGTTTTCTGGGGTGTGAAAGAGCCTTGGAAGTAGAGAAAAGTGACAACTGCACAATATCGTAAATATATAAAATGTCACTGAATTGTACACTTTAAAATACTGATGCATATTATATGAATTTCACCTCAATTTAAAAAAAGAAACACAAATCAATGTGAGTCAATGCCCTGTATAGCTATCCTTATCTCAACCAGCAAAAACCCTTGTTCCTTCCTATTATTGCTTATACTCTCTCTACAACAAAATTAGAAATAAGGGCAAAATAGTTTCTGCTGGGTATTGAGGGGGGGGAGAGGGAGGGGGCGGAGTGGGTGGTAAGGGAGGGGGTGGGGGCAGTGGGGAGAAATGAACCAATCCTTGTATGCACATATGAATAATAAAAGAAAAATGAAAGAAAAAAAAATAATAAAAAAATAAAAAAAGAAACACAGAAGCTTCTTTCTCTAAATTTTTTTCCATACTGTTTCCTAGAGTTGAGCTCAACTGAGGGAAATCCTCTTGACCTTGAGATATACTAGAACATCATTTTTTTTTTATATTGGAACATCTTATATCAGCGTCCAGAAACAATCTCATGCAGAATGCCCAGGGATCTATATGGATCCTTACACCCACAGAAGGAAAAGGAAAAGGGATTAGCTTCCTCATAGAAAACATTATTTCCTTTAATGTGTAGAGAAGATATATTTTTCTTTCTTCTTTATGGGTTACTGAAGTAGCAAAATGCCTCCTGGGTTTCTAATAGCCTGATTTTCATCTTAAGAGTCAGAAAATGAGCCCTTTACTTTGTGACTCTTACAATGACTCTTGGGATGTAGTTTTTTTTCTGGTTTGACTTCATGGTTCCAGGCTTGCTAGGTAACTTCTCTACCACTTGAGCCATACCCCCAGACCTTTCTGCTTTAGTTTGTTTTTCAGAGTGGGTCTCATATTTACCCTTTTTTCCTGGGCTAGCTTCAGATTGCCATCCTCCTACCTCTGCTTCTTGTGTAGCTGGGATTACAAGCATGCATTACCATGCCTGGCCCAGAATGTAATGCTTTGACAAAATGGGAAATGGCATCCTGGTTTGTCTTATAGGCTATTCTTGGCCCTCTCTATGAACTAGACTTAATTATTTAATTCTAGCTTATGAATATAATTTTGAACTTCACTGATTTTTCAGGGCTGTTCCATACATATCAAGAGTACAGCAAAGATAGGAAGGCCTAGAACCTGGAAGGGAAAGCACATTTGATCAGAGCCAGTTTGGAGTGAGGTGGCTAGATGAAAATATTTTGAGAACCACTAGTCTAATTAAATTTCAATTTGTATTTTGAATCATTTACCTTTAATTTCACTTGAAAAATGTATAGAGATATAAATGAATATGAGGTAGGATATTAATCTCATGACTTAATAGCATTTTTAAGGTTTGTCACTTTTCTTGGTGGTGCTGCAGATAGAACCCAGGGCCTCATGCATGCTAAGCAAGTGCTCTACCACTGAGCTATTCCCCAGCCTGGATTGTAATTTTCAAATTGGATAAATGGACTAAGAATGTAACTCAGTGGTAGAGCACTTGTCTAGTACATGCAAGGGCCTGGGTTGCATCTCCAGCACCACACCTCAAAAAAGGGATAAAATTAAGTATCTATGTTTTATGATAAAATTCAAATATCTTAATATAATGAGTCTTCTATTCTTTAGAAGACACAGTATAATGATAAGAACATAACTATATTAGTATTTTCCCCAAGGCCAAAATAAAATATACAGATCAGTGATGAAAATGTGTAAATTGCCTACCTCAAACTCACGACGTTTCTCATAAATTGGAATGATCAACTTGGAAATCTCAGAGATTACTTCATAGCGCTCTGCCTTCCATAAGCCATCCACACATTGTTCTAGCAACTCCAGCAAAACTTCCTGCATTAACAGAAAAATCCAATGAAGAACTGAAAAACAGTTTTAGAATTTTGGACAATTTTTTTCTTTTCTTTCTCCTTTTATTTCATCGTTTTTACATTTACTTACAAGTGTATACATTGTTGGACAAACAAATTTTGAACCATTTTAAGTTAATGAAGAATGGAGTATTAAGTCAGTCCAACAAAACGAACAGGAGCATATTTTTGTGACTATATATATTCTTTTTTTTTGAGAGAGAGTCTTGCTATGTAGCCTAGGCTGGCCTTGAACTCACAAGCTTCCTGCCTCAGCTCTCAAGTGCTGGGTTTACAGACGTGTGCCATAATACCCAGCTGTGTTACTATATTTTCTAAATCAATATTAGAAATAATTAAATTAGAAACATTCTTAAAGATATGAGATTAATTGTGACAATAAACTATATTTATTTTGTTTATTCACACAATGAAGATGTTAACTGTACTAGCAGATGGTAACACATTGAGGTGAATCTTTTAAAAAGAGCATATATTGTTCCAAATCGGGAATGTCTACGTCAACCTGAAAGTAGAAGACTGATTACTAGTGACTGGGAAGTGTGCTGGGGTGAGGCAGGGTTGGGAAAGAGAGTGGAAGAAAGGTGGTTGGATATGGTCAATGCATGCTGCATGCCTGAATAGAAATATCACACGAATCCATTAATATGTGCAATTAATATGCGTTAATAAAAAATAAAAGAGGTTGTCTGAATGCCTAACAAGGTAAATTCCACAAACCGTTGTATGTCCACTATTTTCCTCTTACATTGAAACAACATTTGTACACATTAGTCTTGAAGATGTGACAACTTTTTCAAGCTATTTCATTAGTGATTTAAGTTTTAATTAAACTGATGCAATTTTGGTAAAGAACGCTTCCTTCCTCACTGTCAGTCCTAAAGTTAGTGAGGGTGTCATGTTAGAGAGCTTCCACCTGCCACATGATAACAGAGGTTATGAAACTGTTTTGTGAACCATCGACTCATGTTCTCAACAATAGAAAGATGAAGCCAATTACTGTGCTAGCTTTATGTTTTAACAGTTTGCTTCCATCTTAAAGAGATATACTTCAGACCTGCAGAACTGATTGCTAAAATGATTCTTTGTCCCTTAGACAACTGAACTCATCTTCTAGCCCTTTCACCTATTTCCTCTCTAACTTGTGATGACACCTTAAAAGCCCTTAGCTAGAAAACTAAAAGCAGTTTTCACTTAATCTTCTGTTAGGGGTAGAAGTATGTTCCCTAAAAAGGTTCCTCAGAATGTGACCTTTTCTGGAAAAAGGGTCATTATAGATGACTGAGCATACTATAATAGGGTGGGCCCTCAATCCAATATGGCTGGTATTCTTATAAAAAGACAGAGGCATAGAGGGAAAACACCATGTAACTACAGAGGCAGAGACTGGAGATGCAGCTGCAAGCCAAGGAATAGAAAAGGTTCAACAGCTACCACCAGAAGACAAGGATGGCTTCTATCTGGAGTCTCAGAGGGAGAATGGTCCTGACAAAAATTTGATTTCAGATTTTTAGAGTCTAGAACTGTGATACACTAATTCTGTTGTCAAGCCAGCCCATTTGTGGGTACTTTGTTATGACAGCCCTAGTGCTATGGTCTAAATGTTTGTGCCCCCCTCAAATTCATGTTAAAATCCTAACCCCAAAATGATGGTATTAGCAGGTGGCCACTGGGAGGTGATTAAGTCATGAGGCAGAGCCCTTATAAAAGAGATCCCAGAGAGCTAGCTCATCCCTTCCACCATATAAGGATACAGTGAGAAGGTGTCATCTATGAACTGGGAAATGAGTTCTCACCAGACACCCAATCTTTTGATGACTTGGTTTTTGGCTTTTCAGCCTCCAGGACAGTAAGGAGTAAATTTCTGTTCTCAACAAGCTACTCAGTTTATGGTGTTTTGTTATAGCTGCCTTATAGACTAAGACACCTAAGAAACTACTATATTCTCTTTCTTTACTCATCCTTTAATGAGTTCATCATTAAATTTAACAAAATCCCTAAAAAAATCTTCCAACAGGCTATTTCGAGGAAATACAAAAGATTCTTAATTTTATATGGAAATTCAAAGGATGTAGAAAAGTTAAAACAACCTTGAAAAAGAATAAAGGTAGAGGATTAACACTTCCTGATGTTAAGATTTACTATAAAGTTATAGTGATCAGGGCAATATGATATAGTCATTAACGTGTACAAACAGATGAATAGTACAGAACAGAGACTAAAAATAGACCATATCTACAAAGAACTGAAGTTCTGACCAAAGTACCAAAGTAAAGGCAATGAGGGAAAAGGAAAGTCTTATTTTTCCCCAAATGATGTGGGCCACATCATTTATGTCTAAAAAAAGTGAGTATTAGGGTTTGGAGTATAGGTCAGTTGTAGAGTACTTGTCTAGCATAAGCAAGGCCCTGGGTTTCATCCCTATCACTGCAAAAAAAAAAAACCTTTAATTGCTATGTCATTCCATGCACAGAAACAAAATACATAAATATGGCTCAGAAACAAAGTTTTTAGAAGAAAATATAGGACAATATTGTCACAATCTTGAGGTAAGGTAAGATTTCTTGAACCAGGGACAAAAAAATTTAAAAATTCAAGCTAATAAAAAAAAGTCTTCCTGCTGGCCATGGTGGTACATGCCTGTAATCCCAACACTCAGGTCAAGGGTGGTGGCCCAAGCCTGTAATTCTAGTTACTCAGGTGACAGAGATCAGTAGGATCACGGTTCTAGGCTAGCCTGGGAAAAACACTGATGAGATCCAATCTCAATCAATAAAAACCTGAGTGAGGTGGTATGCACCAGTCATTACAGCTACTTAAGAAGTATAAATAGGAGGACTGGGGTCCAGGCCAGCCCAAGCATAAATGCAAGACCCTTTTTGAAAAATACCTAAATCATAAAGGCTGGAAGTATGGCTCAAGTGGTAGAGTGCCTGCCTAGCAAGCCCGAGGCTCTGAGTTCAAACTCCAGCACCTCCCCACTGTTAAAAAAAGAAAAATAAACCTTACTGCCAAATAGGTCAGTGATGAAGCCTGACATTTACATAGCACTCAATCACTTGTAAAGAGCTTTCACATATTGCAAAGAGACCAGAGTGTATTATTATCCTTACTTTGGTGATGGAGACTCCCCTGTTGAATTTGTAGGTAAGTTAAGCTGAATGAACCAGCACTAACTTAAGATTTGATTATATTTTAAAAATCAGTTCTTAGAGTATTATGTAAGGTATGTCACTACAACTTCAACCTGATTGCTTAAGTTTCTTAACACACTTTTAAAAATGTAATTTCATGGGACTATAACCCCTTTTCTCATGCTCCCACTCTTTTTTTGGTGGGACTGGGGTCAACTCAGGACTTCGCACTTACAAAGCAGGCACTCTACTGCATGAGCCACACCTCCAGTTGGATCCCACTCTTTAACTGCAAACTTTTCCCAGGATTTAGTCCTTGGCTTGGTCTTCACTTGCTGTGTTCTGTCCTACACTCACCCTGCTTTGGTTCTTATAAGGATATGACTTCCAGATGGTTATTTCTAACCCCGATCTCTGTTTAGAATCAGTTCTGCATTTCTAATGGTCTGATGGTTATTTCCATTTTGATAACCTTTCACTTCAAGTTCAACTCATTTCTAAAATAGAACTCATCATTTTCCCTGCAAAAGCATCTCTCTCTTTTCTCCTTAATATCCAAACCTCTTACAGCTATCTGTAACTCCCCCTCCTATCTCAGTCAGCAAGTCTTCCTTCTTTCCTTTCTCATGGTGTTTAGGCCATAACTGTATCACTTCTGGACAAATAGGGCATTCCTTTCTTCTAGCATCTGCCTCTAGTCCCTATGTATCTAGTGTCTAATCCACCATTACTACCAAATTAACTTTCCCTCTCCTTGTCATTATCCTACTCAAAAATCTTTGATAGCAATTCAATGTTCTATTGAATAAAGCCTAAGCCTTCAAATTTTGTCCAAATCTGGCCTTAGTTACTACTCTTCTCTCTGATCAAAGTCATAAGGCCTACCTGGTTTCACCAAAAAGATCCACTCACCCTGTCTCAAACATGCCTTATGCTTTCCTGCCTCTCAGCCTTGTCTCGGCTATTCTCCTTTGTTAGAATGCCTTCATCATCCTCTTTCTTCAAACCCCTCTCCACCTACTTCCTCTGTTCTACTCATTTAGAGGCATCTCTCATTTCTGACTTTGCATTCCACTATTATCTATATTATTCAAATGGCAGTGTTTTGCTTTTTTCCATTTCAGGTGTATTATCTCTTCAGTAGACCTTGGAGGTCAGGGACCAGTCATATTTAATTATTTTATAGCCCTTACACCACCAAGTCCAGAGCCTTGCTCCTAAGACAGTGCTCAATGAACCTTCGTTGGTTGATTAACAGCTGAACCTGTTTTCTATGCCACCTGAAGTGTACAGCAGAAAATTTCCATTTTAAAATACTTTTGTATGTAGTTTGCTTAGTTGAAGGTAAAGGGCAATGTAAATTTATTTTGTGGAGATTTTTCCATATGTTGACTCTGACCTGGCTACTGGCATGGTTATTTGAAGATGGTAAAAGTTGTATTTTAAAATTGGATTATGGGAACAGTTCCAGAGACAAAGCTCTACATTCTGAACAGGAACATCTTTGCCCGGGCAGTTTTAATACTTAAAGCACATTAACCCTTAGATACCTTCAAAATTAAGTTAGATGTAATAAATTTTAATATAAATGAATTTTAAGAAATGAAATTTATGTAAGTGGCAATGTGGGCGTCAGGATCTTACTTCACTATAATGTACATCCATCATCCCAGCATCTTCTTTCATTGCTCCTTCTTCATCTATATTGGGAGTAATTTTCTTGAAGGCTGAGCATCCATTAGGGAATAATTCTGTGTGGAAAAAAAACAGAAATGGAGTACATTTATAAAAAAGTGTTTGGTAAATAATGGACAGACTTACAAGGATTCGTTATTTTTATATAAGCACAGATGTTTTTGGAAGGATTAAAGTCATAAGTACAAATTTCAGTTACAAAAAAGTATTTCATAAATTATTTCCATCTACTACATATTCTATCAGTCTTTTTCCCAAAAAGCAAGCCAAAGCTACTTGTGGGTAAGTTTAGTTCTTTTATGTGCAACATCTTTAATGGCTAGTATGGGTGTTCCTTAGTGTGATGTAAATTATTTTAAATTAAAGCTTTGGTCCTTTGTGCATTTGTGGTCTGAACAAAAGGGCAGGCACTTTTCAGGCAAGCACTGAATGATCTTTGGTAATCATCTCTAGTGCCTGCTTTCACTGAGAACTGGGAAAGGAAGCCAGTTCTTAGAAGAGCCTAGCCTAGGATTTGTAAGAGAGGCAGGTAATAAAACAGATGGAAAGGATGAAACTAGAGAAACAGGACGGGACGTTTGAAGAACTAAAGCTTTAGGAGTCAGACTGACCTAACTCATACCACTAACTGTGAATTTGAATGTTTATCTCCCTAGAATTGTAAAATATTTCATACTCTGTAAAATGGGGATAATAAGAGCTACTTTGTAAGAATTAAAAGAAACAAAATTTATAGCAGAGCCTAGCATGTAAGTACTAAACAAAATATTGCTACACAAGCCAACAAAAAAATTAACTTTCCCAAGACAGAATTAAACAATTGGTGCCAGCTGGATCCTGGAGTGGTAAGAAGTGAACTCAAGCTGAGAAGAGATGCTGTAGGATTGTGGATCAAATTGTTACTGCCAAGCAAGTGTCTAGGCATAGAATGGTTGCCCTACAGAGTCTGATTTTTCTAGAAAAGCATCTTGGAAGAGTCTTCTGGTATATGACTTTTGTTTGTGAGACAGGGTTTCATTAGTCCCAAGCTGGCCTTGAAATTGTTATGTAGTCCAGACTGACCTCCAACTTGTGATCCTCCTGCCTTACCTTTCCTAGTGCTGGGATTACAGGCATAAGCCATGACACCTAGTATGTGTTTTGTTAAGATTATTTTTTTGTGGAAATGGGGATTGAACTCAGGTCCTTGAGCTTGTTAGGCAAGTGCTCTAGCACTTAAGCCACACTCCCTCTAGTGTGTACCTTAAGTAGAAGTAGGGGAAATAAAGTTTTTCTCAAGAGCAAAGAGGTCAACACCCACTTGTGAACTTTGCTGCCCACATTGTGTATTGTGGATTTTCTGCTTTAGAGCCACTATTCTTGTTAAGTGTATCTTATGCCTGATGATATGCCTGATGACTTACCTTTATCTAAAGAGTCTTTATCTAAAGAAGACCATATCCCCACTCCTTTTTTGCTTATGTTATCAACACTCAATCAAAATCCAATGCGATTCAAACCTTTTTATTTGGTAGGGTCTTTAAAATGGTTGAGAAAAAATGTGATTCCCCTTAGTACTGGAAAGATTGTAAGATGAAAGAAGCTGCTAAGTGTAGAGCTGGCCAGTGTACTTATCCCAACAGTATGAGGCTTCTGTATGAGTGATGTAGACCCATGCAGCCATATATAAGGTAGCACTGGAGACCTATGATTAACCTCTCTGGTCTTTGACCTGGATTCTTAATCTTGCACTTCATAGCTGCTGTTTCCATATTCCCACAAGCTGTCCTAGGGAAAGCAAGATGGACACTGTCCAGGTAGGAACTACCACCTTGAGTACAAGTGATCTCATGAAAAAAAATTAGGAGGATTTTGGAGGGTGAATATGACTGCTAATCAGAAAGGCAAGAGTTAAGAGCTCAGAAGGAAGGTATGATGGGAAAAGCTGTGACTAGGAAAGAATCGGGGAATAAAATGCTTTGTGGAACTTCAGCTATCAGATACTGGGTACAAAGACTCAGGGAAGAAAGCAACATTACCCTATAAGGAATGACTCTATGGAAAAGGAAATTCCATTTCCTGGGTTTATAAGGGGAACCCAGCAGGCCCAAAGCCTTGCTGAACCTAGGATGTTATGAGTTGGTAGAAGAATGCAGAAACTTGACTTGTCTTCCCTGGGGAAAGCAATTGTGCCCTCTCTCAAGAAAGACCATGAGTCTAGCCTTTAGAGAATGTGATCCAGAATATTTGAGATTTTCAGAAGATGTAGAAATAAGGAAATTCTGTCTTGTTTCTGTTTTTATATTTTAGGGGCTAGAAAGAATAACTAAAACCCACTATCATCACTTAGGGGTGACTAAGGTAAAGAGAAGTGGGGGTCTGGTAGAAAGAGCAAGAGCCCAGGCTGCCGGAAAGAAGTTTGAGGGTGGTGGAGGGACAGGGAGAACTGCATACCTCCTTCCCCTTTTCCTGTCAGTTCAGTGCCTGAAACAAGAAAGGGATCTGGAAGTGGTCCTTCATTGGTGTTATGCACTCACTCTTGGGGGGCAGGGGACCCAATTCCTTGTCTGCTTAGACATCTGATCCCAATGTGTCAGCCAAATAGTATTTTATTCCATCTTGATTTAAAATGTTTTATAGTGGATTTCAAGAGAAATGGCTTATGGGATGGGGATATAGCTTAGTGGTCGAGTGTCTGACTAGCATGTACCAAGATCTGGGTTAGGGGTAGGGAAAGAAACTTTTGGCAATGGATGTGTCTACTTTTATCTTCATTATCAAAGAAAAGTTAATGAGCATGAAGCCCTGAGTTCAAACCCCAGTCCCACCAAAAATAAAAAAAGAAAACTTAACAGGAAACAAAGGATTCTAGAGTTACCCAGTGATGTTTGTTAAACTACTTAGTCTTACATGTATTAAGGACTTTTTCAGTTCCAACATCAAATGTATTTTTATTTACTCTAAACATTCAGCCTTGTACTATTAATGTATGCTAATAAAATAGTACAAAAGTCTGATGAAAACAAAATAAATAATCCAAACAATAACAAACATCTAGGTCTTATTTAGATGTCAAACAGCCTAGTGGACTGTAGAGTTCTCAGATTGGATGGCGGGTTAACAGATTATGTTTTTAATTTGTGTTTTAGCTTAGTAGTCAATCTTTGTATAAATTTCATAGTTTAATCAGCTGATTAAGAACAGCAGGTGTATTAGATCATTTGAGTCATTGAAGCTAAGGGGGGAAACCCTGAGGATTTTATGATTGCTACCATTTTAGAATAAGATTTTCTAGTTTGTGCAAGTAGAACTTTCCAGGTTTAAAAATAGATGGTACCTATAAATAAATATGGAAACTTCTCTTAAATTTAACATTTCTTTGTTTAAAATGCAAAACAACATTTTTTTCCTCCTTAGCCAAGGGCTCATTGATTTCTATGAAGGATAAATTAGAGAAAACCTTGAGGATATTATGAAATACTCAAATGACTAGTCAGAAATACTGTTTTTACTTGTTAAAACATGTCACAGTTTGGTGGTTAGGGTAGCTGCCTTGTGCTAATGTCCAAACAACCTTCAGGAAATCAAGGATTGATAATGAAGATAAATAATCCTTGACTTTTGCTTAGTTTTAAGGTCTTTGACTTGTGAAAGAAACCCCAAAATATTCTAGGGAATAATTTGTAATATACTTAAATATTTTCAGTATCTAAAATGTACCATTTTATACTTAGTAGACATAAAACTTATTTCAGATTTTAACTAATTAGAAAGGTTAAATATCAAATAATTTTTCTAAAAGTCATATGTAAAATCATATTTAGTACTGTGTTCAGGATGCTCACATTTGTCAGTTTATTTGAAACTGCATACCTGCAATTTATTTATACTGTAATTTTAGAAGTATATCAGCGATATAATTTAAATATCCAGAAATAGGCCTTATTTTGGTCATTTTTTTCTCCATTTTAGAATCATATATGGGGGCTCGGGGGGTAGCTCTGTGGTAAATCAACATGCCCAAGGTCCTGGGTTCAATCCTAGCACCAAAAAAACTAAAATAAAACTAAGTATGTTCTAAAAGAGTACAGTTTCAAGCACATGCATTGTTCAGAATAACTTCAGTATCAAACAAAGTGTTAATTTTAAATATAAGTAAAATGCCACCAGTCATAGTGGCACACAACTGCAATCCCAGGACTCAGGAGCCTGAGGCAGGAGGATCATGAATTTGAGGCCAGGATGGGCTATATAGCAAGTTCTAGGCCAGCAAGACCCTCTCTCTAAAAAAAATACCTCCAAAAATACAGTAAAATGAATGTACATTTTAATCATGTTATTATTTTGGGGAAGAATGGTTTTTGAAAAAGATTCTCTACACGGGTGTTATTGTATTAGGCAACTGAACACTGAGTCTTCAATATGAAAAGAAAGATACAAGGTTAACTGTAGGAATTCTGAATATAACAAAACAAAACAGGGTTGTGTTTCCAGAGCCAAAGCCAAAGTAATATGACTCCCATAAATTGGTTTCATTTTGCCCTGATGTTACTTGTTTGACTGCTTAAAGCAAGTAGTGTGAACATTGGAATAGCTAGTAAGAGATGTCCTGATTGCAATCTTCACTGCCAATCAGTTTTTAAACCTAACTCAACTGTTTTACTATTTGAGAGGTCACAGTAGTCAATAATACTATTTTGGGAAAGGGAAGCTTTCAGGAAGGCTCCAGAATTAGAAACCTTGAATCAGGAAATTCAGAGTTGCTGGATCCTGATGCCCTTCAAGGGCCTGATTCCCTTTTAACACCCAGGTGTCACTGCACTAAAGTCCCTTAGAGACCCAGTTTGTGGAGAGTTGTTGGTGAATAAGGGAAAAATAAGTGATTTGTATTATCCAGAGTTTCTCATGAGCCCTAAGAAGAATTTAATTTGTGGCGGTCTTCCAGGGAGACAGTCTTGGAAAATAAACACTGGGCATCAGGCCAGGCCCTGTACTATTTAACTTGTTCTTGTAACCTCTTATGAAAGCAGAAGCCAAAATGAGCAATCCAGTCTTCTTTTATAACAACTTCTGTTTACCACCGAATGAGGGTGAAGGTGAACTTATTTTTTAGAGTTCAATTTTATCACATTCATAGTTAAAACTGCAAAGATAAAAACAATTGTGCCAACTGAGATTCTCCCCATCTCAGAATAGAAGTATCTTACTCTTTCGATGAAGAAATTCGGCAACCAGAGCTGCTACGTGGACATAACACATGGCAGCCTAAAGATGGATGACAAAGAAAGAACTATCAGAATGTATTCGGGGGATTGCGAAGGGTCATGTTTAGAACAAAGTTTTAAGTAGTCACCTCTGAAAAATCTCCATTTTTTATATGAATCTTGGCCATGCTATCAAGCCAGGTTTTCCTGAGCTCTGGTGTGCTGGCATAGGACTTTGCTAAACTAAACTGGAGATCAATTAGCATTTCGGGGTCTTTCTCATGTTCCTTCATTTGGGCAGTGGCCATTAGAACGGTGCGGATCCTCTTGGTCAAGTCTTTGACTTCTGTGGGGAAAGCAGTTGCCTAATTTCGAAACAAAAAAAGAAACCCATACATTTAACATTTAATATGATCTAAGCCTCAGCATCCAATCCTGTGGATTGGATAACATAATTTTTATTTATCATTACAGTTCTTGGTACTGTATTACTTTTCCATGTCTAAAGGATTTTTAATTCATTGTTTTGAAAAATATGTAACTAGCACGGGCTCTAAACTTGATGACACCATATCCAGAGTACATAAAAGCATGACCTTTGGACCTAGACTATCTGGCTCCGAACCCTTGCTCCTCCATTGTGAATTCTACAGTCATGGAAGTAATCTATGTTTGTAATTTACTTACAAAGTAAGCAAAAGTTATTGATAGCATATTACATGTCTGGCCTGAGTTGTTACATGTTTTAATTTTCACAACAACCCTGCGAGTTAACTACTATTGCTATTCATCTTACCAATGGGAAAATTGAGGCACAGAGTGGTTATGCAGCTTGGCCAAAGTCTCACAATTGGCAAGTCAGAAACAGGACTTACATCCAGGCAGTCTGGCTCCAGAGCTGGTTCTCTGCAGCTACTTTTCCATACTGATGCGTTTACCTATCCCATGTATTGACTTATCATATACACCAAAGTAAAGCCATGCCATAACATGTTTTCACAAATGAGGTGTCAAGAATCACAGCATACTCCAATGAGCTTAAAGAGATCAATAACTTCTCAAAGGGTTTTTGGTACAAAGTTTACTAGGTGATAGTTTCCTCTTTGCCCTAGCCACTATTAAGAAAGCCCTAACACTTCCCCTTAATCTCCAATGGAGTAATTACAATTATCTGTGTGATTCATGGGAGATGAGGAAGGGACAAGTACAAGGTTAGGAGGCTATTTAATGTGAATATAATAAAATGTTGAGGAAATAGTTTTAAAAACTGCCTTCTTGATCCCTTTAAAAATAGTAATTGTTATACACATACAGTCCTTTCTTACTAATAGAAATTCTGTTTTCTGGGGAAAAGGCATAGCTCGTTATAATAAGGTTTGTTAGTAATGATGGACCAAGCAGAATAAAACTAGGTTATTTCACGAATGGGTCAAGGAAAAGAAAAAGATTTCTTATCAAGGAGAGCCAACATAAGCCTCATTTTCTTGGGAAAAAAATTGCTAATTTAACTATGTACCATGGCATTAAGGATGGTAACAACTGGGAAAATAACCTCTTAGAGTATAAATAAAAGAGCATAAACAGTATACATTGTTTCTGTGCTCAGGGGATTAATGGAACATATATTGGTTCCCCCAGGGAACAAATTGAACTGGCTGAAAAGCAAACTTTCCCAGCCTGTGAGCAGCTGGCACTACTCAGTGCTTTTCTCAGTGTAAGCAACATTCCTATGGGAATTTTTTTGGTACATAGATTCTACATGTCCCAAACTTCAAATATGCTCTGACTGTAAGCTTTTAATTTTTTTCAGATTTTATACGATAATGTTAAATATGCTAGAATCTGACCTTTCCCAGGAGTAAGAACAGCTCATTTCCCTGGGAGCAAATGTCTTCTATTGGCAAAGGATTCCTCTTCTTTTGTGCACATGCACACAGATTAGGACCTGCACTCCAGCAGTGAAGTGGCAGATGCATTTTTTATGCATTGAAGTATGAAAGAGGAATGGTGATCAGGGTCTTGGGTCTGATCTCAGCAAACCGGTGCTTAAGAATGACAGCCTTGGACTTGGATTTGCCAGTAAGTATCTATGGCAAACCACAATCAGTTAACAGAAGATTTTTGAAAGTCACAAAATGAGCGAATAATGAAACCCTCACATGCCATTCCTCTTCTGTTGACAATGGATCAAGCAGCTGTTAGCTATTCTGACAAGTGAGTTTTGTCAAATTTCAAAGTCTGTGTTTAATTAATCAATATTATAAGTGGAACAACTGTTAAGAAAGGCTACATTTATTTTCTGAGCAAGTTGAGAAATCAATCCCAGAACAACAGCATAGTCATTCATCCATCCATTCAGTTAATATTGAATATCTGCTATGTACCAGGCGGTATTAATGGTGTTGGAGATCGAGTGGTGTGTAAGACAAAGCCCTCGACTCATGAAGCTCACATTCTATGTATGCTATACTATCAAATGGTGAGAAACCAATGATGGTTTAACTCTAAGAGTATAAATTCCTCTGATAAAGTGGTCCTCATTCACTTATTTTGGTGCTGGGAATTGAACCCAGGGCTTTGTGCTTGCTAAGCATGCACTCTACCACTGACCCATACCCCCAGCCAAGTGAGAACATACCTTCATAGGTCTGTCACTATTTGCAAAATTATTGATAATGAATAAAGACTCCTGAAATCTTGACCCTCCACTTAGTGCAACATCAGCTATCAGTTGGCTTACAGCAATAATTATCTGTAGGAAGAAGCAAACATTGTTTTTCAATTGGCTTTTGAACAAGTGGTGCTAATTCTCATCCTGTACAGGTGCAGACACACTCATGAAATGCTTTTTTTTTTTTTTGAGATGGAAGTCCCATTATGTTGCCCAGGCTAGCCTCAAACTGCCAACCCTCCTACATCAGCCTCCTCAGTAGCTGGAATTAAAGACTAGTGCCATGACACCCAATTATGAAATGCTTCTTATAAAGATTCTCTACAGTAGAATCGGATATGCTGGTAGTCAGGCCTCAATTTTGAACATGCTTAAGCTATGGCAAAGTTGGGAAGAAATGATGTTTTCATTTTTGGTTTCTCAGTCCTTTCACTTGTCTATTTTAATGTGATGAACTCTCAAGCCCAATGCCTCAGCTACCTTTTTTTCTTGGAATTTAGTTTTACATTACACATTTTACATTGTGGCACTTACAAAAGTTCTTACACTGTATCAAATATATCATATTTGAATTCATTCCCTCCACCATTCTCTTTTATCCCTCCTCCCCTCATTCCTGGAATAGTTCCAACAGGTCTCATTTTTCCATTTACACACATGTGTACACAGTATTTGCACTATATTCACCCTCCCACACCCTTTCCTCACCTCCTCTCCCCTCCCACTGGTACCAACCCCCTCAGCTACCTTTGTTTTTGATCAGGGCCTACTAGTTTAACAGTAGTTTATGCAATGGCCTTTGGTGGTGCTTTTTAATCTCTCAGATGAACTTTGATCAATGCCCATACAATTCATGCTAAGATGTTATTGGCTAGATCCTTTAGTTCTGATCCTGAGAAGTAGGCTTCAGTAGTAGCTGGGTGTAGGCTCTAGAGTCAAACTGCCTTAGATTCAAATTTTGACTTTATCAACTATTCACTGTGTAGCTTAGCTTCAGGAAATTTTAACCTTTCTCTTCTCAGTTGTAAAACTGGGATGATAACAATTCCTACTTTATAGTTAGGAGTATTAATGGTATCATAATCCTAATAATACCAGTTAACTGTTTATTGAGCACTTTGTTGCCAGACACTGTCTGGCACAGTAAGTCTTCATATTTATTAACCACTTATATTTGAGTACAGCATAATGACACACTAATAAGTGCAATGTTTTGAAGGAAAGTGGTATTCAAGTGACACTTAGGTAAAATCAAATAGTAAAAGATCTAATGTGTAATGCTGGCTGGCTCCAAATGCAAAGTAGTTATATAACAGATTTTTAAAGGAAGAACATATTCCAATTAGATTTTTACCTTACTGGAGCCATTTTTCAAGCTGTTTATGATTGTTTCCTCATTAATAACTTTGTCTACAATAAACAACTTCAATGAGACAGACTAAGGTAGTGAAGATACAACCATAAAAAGGGATTTCCTGTATTATCAAGAAGCCTACTGAGCCATGAAGTCTCAATTGTGGTTAGGTTCAAAGCTGTTTCATCAAATAAACACAACAATATGGTGATGTGGAAAAATAACTATCATGTAACAAGTGACTAGTATGTGCTAGGCATTGTGCCAGGAACTATACACATTTTAAAAATTAATTTTGACAGAACTAGGGCTTGAACTCAGGGTTTTGTGCTTGCTAGGAAGGCACTCTACCACTTGAGCCATACCCTCAGCTCTTTTTGCTTTGGTTATTTTTGAAATAGGGTCTCATGCTTATGCCCCAGCCAGCCTGGACCATGACCTACCTAGTTATACTTCCTGCACAGCTGGGATGACAGATGTGTGCCACCATGCCCATATTTTTTACTGGTTGAGATGGGGTCTCACAAACTATTTGTCTGAGCTGACCTTGAACCACAACTCTCCTGATTTCCACCTCCTGAATTGCTAAGATTAGAGATGTGAGATACTGCTTTTGGTAATTAATTTACTTTTGAGACAGGTTCTTGCTATGTAGCTGAAGCCAGTCTTGAATTCACAATCCTCCTGCCTCAGCCTCTCCAGTGCTAGAATTATAGGCATGAACCACCATGTCTGGCCACACATTTCACTCTCTTAATAACTATACAAGGTGAAATATACTTGGTCTCATTTTATGGATAAGGAATCTTGTTCACCAGATTAAATGATTTGTGTAGGGTCACACAGTAAGTAAGTAGTGAACTATGACACTTAGGTAGGTCTCTCTCTAAAGTCTGTGCTTTCCACTAAATCTTAAAATTAATTTCCATTTTTTGAGAAGGGGTTGAGCTATGTTGCCCTGGCTGGTCTTGAACCTGTGGGCTCAAGTAATCCTCTTGCCTTAACCTCCCAAGTAGCTGGAATTACAGGTATGTGCCACCACATCTAGCTCAGTTTCTTTCATTTTTAAATAAGTATGCTGTAGTATGAAAAGCATAAACTGTATTACTTGCCATGTAATATATAACAGGTTTATTATTTAATCATCTCATTTTTTCCTTACAAAAATCCTACAAAGTAGGTACTAATATTTACCCTTATTTTATCTTTGAGGAAACTGGAGTACTGAGTGGCTTAGGAAGTAACTTGCTCTAGTTCATGTAGTGTGTGGTACTCTGGAATTTGAAGTAGAGCCTGAATTCCTAACATCCAATAAAAATAAAAATTTTTCAATAAAAATAGGATGTGAGCCACATATGTGGGTTTAAATTGTCTAGTAGCCACATTAAAAAAAAAAGACAAAAAGCGGAGCCTGGTGATGTATGCCTGTAACCCCAGCACTTGGGAGGCAGAAAGAGGCAGGAGGATCTTGAGTTCAAGGCCAGACTGAACCACAGAGAGAGTTCCAGGTCAGTGTGGGCTACAAAGTGAGATCCTGCCTCCAAAAACAAAAACAAAAAAAAAAAAAAGGAAAGAATGAAAGAAAGGTGAAACTTATTTTTAATATATTTTACTTAACCCAATATATCACTTCAACATACAGTCAATATAAAACAACTGAGATATTTTACTTTTTATATACTTAGTCCTCAAAGGCCAATGTGTATTTTATACTTTTAGCACATCTCAGTTTTGGATCATCCACGCTTCAAGGGCTAGAGGGCCACATGGACTAAGAGTAACTGTATGGATGGGGAGCTCCAGGTCTTGATCTTGATAGTGGCTAATGATTGATGAAGAGGGTGATGAAGTGGAGGTTTGATTTTCACTGACCTGAAGATGTGTCCTCAAAAAGGTTTTCCTCTTGGTGTACTCAAAGTTATTTCTCATCAAAAGATACAGAAGTGCAGATGCTTCATTCCTGGTTGAGCTAATCTTGGAGGTGCAGCACTTTAAAACCTCATAGCAAAATGCAGCACACATGTTTACTCTTCCTTTGAAAAAGGCGGAGGGAAACTAAAAGATCAAGGGAAGCAGAAAGAAGTATCTGAAAACCCAATCAAAAAATCCATCAGATATCAAGTGCCTACCATGCCCTCACCTAAAACTGTGCTGGGTGCCATGAGGACACCAAATCAACATGAAGCTAGCATTCTGCTCTCAAGACAGCCTGAACTAAAGCCCAGCATGTGTCAATGACAGAACAAGTCAATTCAGCACACAGGCTATGACAAAAATGTCAACGTGCAGATCTGAGCAGAGCTCTCAATAGTCTGAAACATGATTAGTTGAATCTCAATAATATGTAGTAAATAAATGAATGACTGAAATGATGACACTCTCAAATGGGACCTTAGAAACCAGAAGAATAATCTGCATTGCTTTTTGCTTTGGATTTAAATAGTTCCTTTTGTTATGAACTTCCAAGTGCTGAGAAAATTCTAGTTGAAACCTATTCGACAGGTGCAGTTGGGTCTTTAAACAAAATGGGATATCGGTAAAGTATGGACATGCACACACATGTGCATTCTCGACTCATGAATCGAGCTAAGTAAGATACATTTTTGGCACAGAAAAAGAGTTCAAGAGTGGCTACCTAATTTAATAACCAAGTTGCCTGTTACTTTGAGAATGGATTCAGCCTGCTGCTTTGTGGAACATAAACTATACATAAAACATAGACTTGTTACAATCTCCCTTGTTTATAGGTCTAGACAAGCAATCAATAAGCTGCATTCAAAATTATTTCTTGGGAACCTTGAATTTAAACCTACATTATATTTATCTCACCTTAATACCAAGTGCAATGTTATGCAGATAATGGATGCTTAATAAATGTTTTCTGACTGGTAATTGGGAAATCTCATTAATAGTTGCATAAGATTAAACCAAGTCTTGCTGAACAAGATACTGTATGTGAAAACACTGAAGGGAAAGCATGACTGCAGAGTAAGTAATCCCTATAGTAAGACTTCTCACATCACTCACCACTCTGATGAGCAATGGCCAAGACCATCAGTGACCTCCTAATTGCCAGTTCTAATGGATCCCTTTTCCCTTTTATCTTCTTTGACCTGCTCTACTTCATGACAATGTTGAAGCTCTTTTCTTCCTTGGCTCCCATGGAATCCTTTTTTCTTGCTCTTCTTCCTACCTCTGTGGCTATTCCTTCTTGTCTCCTTCAGATTTCTCTTCTAATCCCTTGTGGGTTTTTATTGTTGTTTTGTTTTGCAGAACTGGGGCTTGAATTCAGAGCTTTAGACTTGCTAGGCAGGTGCTCTACCACTTGAGCCATACCCCCAGCCCTTCTGAGTTGTTTTTTCTCCATGTTCTGCTCTTTATTTTTTTGTATTCTTCCTTTACATCCTCTCCAGGGGAGATTACACCACTCTGATGAGTTCAGTACCACTTCTATACTGATGCTCCCTCTAGTTCACTGTGCTTCAGCTATATTCACCTTTTAATTCTCAGAGTATTCCAAACTCTATTCTGACTCAGGGCTTTTGCATATGCATGCCCTTCTCTCTACAATATTCCTCCTCGAACCTTTCAAATGGCTGAGTTCTTTTCATAGTCCAAGTCTCATTGTAAAAGTAATAAACTTATCTAAATCATTGTGAGATGGTCCCCAACTTATGGTGATGCAACATGATTTTTTTCACTTTACAATGGTGCAAAAGCAGTATGTGTTCAGTAGAAATTATACTTCAAATTTTGCATTTTCATCTTTTCATGGGCTATTCTATCTTAGCACCCTGTACTCTATCTTAGTACCTTTCTAGAACTAATTATTCCTTTGACTTATTTATTTTCTGTCTCTTCCTCCCCACAAGCATGAATGCTTCCTGACGGCAGAGAATATGCTTCTATTGTATCTGTACTACATAACAGAGCAACCGACATAGGAAGGTGCTTAATAAATATAATATAGATGGAGGATGACTCCAAAGCTAGTTCTCTAACCCAGATCTCTCTCCAGAGCAGATCGATATATCCAAATGTTCCATAAGCACCTCAAATTCAATATTTACAACACAGAACTCATTAACTTTTACCCCAAGCATAGTTTTCCCCCTATATTTCACATCAGCTATGACAGCCACTATATTATAAATTCTCTCCCTCCAAAGTGTCTTCTACCTGCCTTTGACTCTCCAGATCCACTGCTGCTTCCTCACTGTAGGCCCTCATCTCTCATATAGACTATTGTAACAAGTTTGCTTTTTTTTTTTAACTGAGTTTGGTACTGCCACTGATCTCTCTTCTGCACCACTTTTGGGAGGTTTTTTCCTGGCCACACCAATTTCCTCTCAGTACAAATCGAATTGTGTTACTTCTCTACTAAAACCTTTCTGTGGCTACCTGATGCCTAAAAGATGGAGCTCAACTCTTAAGATGAGTACATAATGATCTACTCCCCACTTACATCTTTGGTTCCATGCTAGTTCTACTGCTGCAGAGAAACTTTTGCTAAACCAGAGCATTTCTCTTCTTTCTCTTGCCTGTGCCCAGTTCTCTGTACAAACATTTTATCTTGATGGCATTTGTTTATGTGCACATGTGTGCACATGTATCTTTATGTGCGTGTTTTTCTCTACCAGACTCTAAGCCCTCAGGGCTTACCTAGTGGTATTTACCACACAGTCACTGTTAAATTACTTATTTCTGAATTTATTTCCCTTAGTTTCTTAGAACATGCTTGTGTTGACCTCAGTTTTCCATAGATTTATTTACTCACAAATTGTATTAAAGAATGAAAAATTTTTTAAAAGTTTCAAATTCACCTAATTTCTAATTTTAGATACAATTAGGAAAACTTCACTCATACTGAATATCTACCATTTGAAAGATATTGTACAAGACCCTGGAGTTATAAAAGTTGGTTTCTGCTTTTAAAGTGTTTATATATGATAAGAATATTTGTTTCTTGAATTTAGGGCTTTATGCTTGTAAAGCAGGCACTTTACCACTTGAGCCACACCTCCAGTTAATTTTGCTTTGGTTATTTTGGAGATGGGGGTCTCTTGAACTATTTGCCTAGGCTGGCCTTGAACCTTGATCCTCGATCCTCTTGATCTCAGCCTCCCAAGTAGCTAGGATTGTACGCGTGAACCATTGAGCACAGCATGGTAACACTTTTTAAAATAAGCAAGATAAAAGAAAAATTGGCAAAGCTGGTAATTTGGAAGTGACATTTGAATTGGGGGTACAGCTCAGTGATACAGTGTATATGCCACACCCTGGGTTCAATCCCCAGTACCCACACACTAAAAAAAAAAAGAAAAAAAATCTTGAAGGGGCCTACTGAAAATGGGAAGGTCTAACAAGGTAAAATCAAAAGCAGATTGTCATTTTATGGGATTCTTGGCCAGATCTTCTGTATGCATGTTGTTGTTGTGTACTTGAATTTATAAAGGCAGTGTTGAATGGCTTCCTTAGCTGATTTTTGTATTTGTCCTCACAATGGTCCTTCCCTCCCCTTCCCTTTTTGCTGTGACGAAGAGCCACTGGCAGCTCTTAAAGCTGTCCTTACCTTACTGATGAATGCTCTTAGAGAGGCAAATACATGTTTCAGTGACACTTCAGACTGTCCATTTTTAAGAAAAGCAAGATGAATATCAAAGACTTTTTTCATTAATGGATTGTGGCCATCATTATTTAAAAGTTGGTTCTACAAAACATACACAAAAAAATAGTTGGCAGAAATACTTAAGTCTATGCTTTACCAAGAATTAGAAAACTGACTTTACTAATGCCTGTTTATGAAACTACTATTTGTAAGTTTTGGAAAAGTACAAAGCTCTCAGATTTAATTTTAGAATACTGTGTGATCTTTCAACTTGGAAATCTCAAAATACTACCAAAATTACATTTAGAATACTTAAATCCAGCATTTTAAACAGGTGAAAATTATTTTTCTAATGTGACACATTAAAATACAGAACATTTTCTTTTTTGAGACAGTGTCTCACTATGTAGCTCAGGATGTCATTGAACTGGAGATCCTCCTGCCTCAGCCTCCTGAGTGTTAGGATTACAGGCAAGCACCACCATATCTGGTCGGGAAAGTGTTTTCTATTAACCTAACCTATATCATATCACTTCTCGGTTAAAAGTTCAGTAAGTTAGAAATAAATACAAGGCAATCAGCCTTTGCACTTCTTTGAGGGAGACTACATAAAGTAAGAATTAAGGAAGATACCAATTCATTTCTTAAGTCTCTTGTCATATCTACCCTTTGAAGTATGTTTTGTATAAGATATGTTTACAACTGGTGATTATTTTTTTTGATGGGACTGGAGTTTGAACTCAAGGTTTTGAGCTTTGCGAAGTAGGCTCTGCTGCTTAAGTCACACCTCCAGTCCAATTGGTGACAAACTGAGTGCTCTATGAGCAGAGATTAAAAGGTATCACAAATGAACAGACAATGTCAATTGTTTAAATGCTTCTTGCAATGAGACATAAAAGAAACAAACTGTACAGAAATACCTATTACTTTGTGAACCTTGTTTTAAAAACAGCATTGGTTAACTTCTCTAGTTCTGCCCTCCTACTCTTCAAGAAATGTATCAGCAGGTGACATCTTGGCCCCAAACAATAAACCCCCCAAATAACCAAAACTATAGGCAAAGTTGTGACAGATGTAATAATAACATCAATAGCCAGAATGGGATAGTGGATAGAATCAGGGATACTCATGGTAATTGACCTAGTTCTGAATCTTGATTCTATCACTGACCAGCTACATGACATTAACTACTCAGTGAGCCTCAGTTTCTTCATTTTAAAATTGGAATAAGAACAGTTTCTACATCATAAGGCTATTATGAGGATTAAAAGTGAGTTCATATTTGTATTTTAAAGTTTATGGAGATATAATTTCTACAGCATAAAACTGACCAGTTTCAACTGTACAATTCAATTACTTTTAGTAAAGTTGTCAGTAGAGTTGGGTGACCATCACAATCCAACTTTAGATCATTTTCATTATCCCAAAAAGATTGATCACATCTGCTCCCTAACAGTTACTTCCCCTTCTCATTCAGAGCCTTCACAATAAAACGTTAACTTGGTGGTAGACATGTGCTTAACATGTATGAGGCTCTGGGTTCAATTCCCAGAACAACAAAAAAATGCAAGTAAATATTTATAAAGTCCTTAGGAAAGTGTCTGCCATCTACCAAGAGATGTATAAATGTCTGTTGAATAAATAAGAATTAACAGAATAGGAAGAGGGAATGTAATGTTAATCATGAGACTAAATGCCCTTATATACTGGCACAGTGAAAAGCAGACTTGTGTTATATTTTAATTGGAACAAACCTAATATTTCATAAAGAAATTGTGCAACCTACTTCTTATTAGTATCTAATTCAATTTTTCATTTATAAGCTTCTTTCAAAAGCACAGGCCAGCTTTCCATAGGTAATCAGGAAGGCTGAGTAATTAACAAAATTACTTAGAGAACGGGGGTGGGGGGAGGGGAATGATTTGTGTAACTGAAGAGAAAGCAGGCAAGATTTTTCCCCCTTTGAGATCATCTACTAATACTACCTTATATTATACTTATGTAGTTTTTAACTTTCAAAGCACTCTCAAATCCATTATCCCATTTTACCTCTTCAACAAGCCTGCAAGATAATTATTTTTACCTTCTTTTAAAATCATAGCAATGATGACTTGTACTGAGAGAAAAACATCTGAGAAAAAACCTGAAGTGCCTGATGAGGGCAGCTTGCCTGGACTTCATCTATCATGACAGGACATTTCATCACAGTGGGTATTTGGACGAAGTGATCCACTCATAATTTCAAATAAAAATTAGTGGATATTTTAATAAAGGTATGAAAAAAAACTGTTTCCAAACATGAAATAAAACAACACAATTTAAGAAGCAGAAGGGAGCTTAAAGGCAAATTAGTCCAATCTTTCAAACTATGGATGACCCACGAGTCTCAATGACTTCCCAAGATCATGTGACAGTCGAAGTTGGCTTGTCATCTACATTTCCTCACTGCTTATGCCAGCCTTTTTCACTGCAGTATCCTGCCTATGACTAGTTAGCTATTGTAAAATGTTTTCTTTGCAATGATACCAGCTGAATTCTAACTTTTCATCTTTACCTTGAAGCACTGGGTGAAAAATGATATGGTATCTAGGACTGTTAGAGAAACTTCAGTAGCAGTATTGCCTTCAAGAAGTGCCTGGTGGAAAATGTCTGCTTCAGTTGTTGCAGAACCTAGGATAAAAAGAGGAAATTAAATTTTGCCCAACACATGATGTTGACTTTCTTCCCGAAGACTCAGTGAGACTAACAAAAAAGGAGGCTCACAATACCAGCAGAATGAGCCCTAATAAGTGTCACTGGTTTTACTCTTTACTCAAATTGGTGTGGGTCAATCAATTTCATTAGTTTTTCATACCAGCTCTATATCAACAGCTCTGCAGCACATAATTAGGTGCCCACTTCTTTCGTGACACAATTTCAGTGATGACCTATGGATGTAACTAGGAAATAATGTAGAAGGCATTTTAGGCTATGCCACTAATTATGTGCACAAGATGAGAAAGCCACAGAAGTTCAGCTACATACAGAGAGTGTGCCCTATGGTTAGATGTTTTCAATTATGCCAGTTATATGAGAGTTGTTTCTAAATCAAATGGTATCTGGGCCAACTGATGGAAGTATATTCTTTGTATTTTACAAGGAGCAGAAGACCATAAAAATTGTAATTTTAAAGGTCTTTAGCCTAATATTAGCTCAGGGTCTATCTGCTCAAGGCATTTTTAAAATTATTATGAGGCCTTATCACAAAGCCAAATTTTGCTGGCTTCTTTCTCTGCAACCTTCAGACAACTGTATGGAAATAGAGGTTTCCTGTATGGAAATAGAGGTTTTCTTATTCTGAAATTTTATTAATATTTGCTTTTCAGAGGACAATTTCCATTTATATAACCCTCTAGCTTTGCCAGCTGGACAAGATTTTGTCTCTTTGCCCTATATGCCTTGTCAGTATTTCAACTTGGTTAAATACACCTTTGAAACAAAATAGTATTTGGAGCGCACTGATTTCTATAGTCATCTCAGTATGTATAATTCGCTAATCAGTAAATAAATAGCAACTCTACACAAATATTATACCTATCATTTTATTAAAATGTGAATATTTGCATTAAAGTTTAACAGCAAGCACAAAGGATATCCAGTATAAAAATATGACGAGAACAATAATTCCATGGGAAACATTAATTTTTAATACTAAGAAAAAATTTAAAATTATTACTTGAAATTGTTGAAAAAAATCATGCATATTTTATCATTAGTCATGTTTGATGAAATGATTATATATAAACACATAGCTGAGGCATGCAAATATATCTATGAATAGAAAATTATTTTTAATCCTATTGGTAATTTAAACCAGTACAGCATCATGCGGCTATTTTACATGGGTACCACATACATATTTTTACTTACTGTGATTGAGTGTAAATGAACTTTCTAAGCTACTAAGGTGCTGAAGCCGGGCCTGCATTACCCCCGATCTGTTTCGAAGAGCTGGCATAGTTTGTGATTTTCGGTCTATTCCAAAGTGTTTTGACAGCCAGGCATCATGTATCCTAAAATAAAATTTAAAATTAGGAACTGGAGTGCTCTAATAATCTATCTCATTGTTAGATTCTTTTTAACTAAAATATTAACTAGGTTTCTATATAAACATGGTACTTATGCTCAATATTCTATCAACTAATACTTGAATTAAATAAGGCATCACTGGAAATTGTATGAAGTTTTTAATGTATCCTTAAAATAGCTTGTATTGTAAAAACAGAATTAAGAAATTCATAAAGAGCTTCTGGAACACTTTTATCCTTCTCCTCAAAAACACTGGGGTTAAGTAGTCAACACTCCAATAAGATTCAGTCTTTTTGCTGGAGGTAAGGAATGGCAAGAGTCAAAGAAAAGAGAGAGACACTAAGGATTGAAACAAGGGTCATGGTAGGAATCCTGGAATCAGATGTTTGAGAATGGGTATCAATCCAATCTGTTTCTGGACTTAAGGTAAATTTAAACCAAAAATTTATACTCTATAAACATGTCTAGAACTGAGATTTGTAAAATTTTCTTTTCCTTTAATTTTAAAGCTCCATTTAAAAAATTACAACTTAATTAAATTAAGGAAGAAAAAGTTTTTCTATCTTCAAATGAACAGGGTGGGAAAGTTACAGAGTTCTGAAAGCTAAGGATCATTGTTAAATGACCATACCAGCTCTGATCATGGGGGAGGATGGCAGCAACTGGAACTATCATTACTTGAACTACCTATTATTAGGATTCTCCAGGGATACAGAAATGAACCCTATCCAAAGGTCTCAATTTTTGAAAATGCTATGGAATTTAACTTTTTCAGAAAACAACTGTATTTGAATTACTTTAATGAGTAATGCTACCCTTAAAATATATATTATTGAAATAAGCATGTAACCTTCTTTGCCTTAGGACCCCTCAAACATTTGCTTAAATATTTCGCTAGGATTTAAGAGGCAAAATAAATAAACAGATAATATATATTGTATATTCCGATTACTGCTGGGGGTTTCTATTTACCTTAATAACTGAGGTGAGTATTGATAGACTGTAGAAAAATTATACACCTTACAGTTGTCCTCATTTTATGAGTTTCTGCCTTCCTTTGTATCAGTCCCTTCTCAACTCCTTCAGGACAGATAAGCATCTGTTTTAAATTTAGGTGGATTTCATAAGGTAGAAACTCTCTGTTACTCTAGTCATTACCCTTTTGAAAACTTAAAAAAAATCAGAGCTCACATTAAACTTTGAATTAGGACTTGCTAAATAATTATGGGTGTCTTGATGTTAACCTAAAATTAATAATCTGGGTTTTACATGGCATGAATGAGATTGCCCTCTGCTGGAAGAAAAGGAAAAATGGAAATAGCAATGCTGTGGGAATTACCTTGCTATGTTTCTTTTCCCCATATATCTAAAGTGAAACAAACATACTCTAGAATGAAAAACAATAGCATGTTAGTAATATATTACCATCTAGTACAATTTAACAAGTAATATTTGAAAAAAATGATTCACAAAGAATAGCCTACTTAAATAATAAATAAGAAATCCCAGTACTACCAATAATAATAATATTATAATAATATATGATTCTACAGAAATAAATACACAGATAACCGCTTATGGGCTTGCCATATTAAATCTTTCCACATTTATTTGCTACAATTACACCAGCACAAAAACCCTTATGTCTTTATATTCAATTCTAATGACCTGTCAATGCAAATCACCCTGTGTGCTATAAAACAATATCATAGCAAAGGTCTTCAGCATGATCATCAATACCAAAAAATGTTCATAAATCCTAGGAATAGGGCAAATGCTACATTTTGTATAAAACACTTTCTATTACTGAATCTCAAAATACATATGAAAGTCCAGCTTCAAAAATTATCATGGCTGTTCTCATTAAAACTCTGTCCCAAAGAAGCCCCCTGATATCCTTCCACCCTTCTTACCTTCTTTTTCAAAGCAAATCTCCAGCATCAGATATTGCCATTAGTAAACATTTTACAGTATAATTAGTTATTTTTTTGTAAAAGAAATTTAACTTCTGTTTAGTCAGTTGACATTTTTTGAAAACTTTAATCAAATGGTGTATAACCATTGTCCTCTTTGTGTTTTATTCATCCACATAAAATATCTGTATTATTTATGTAAAATTTTCTTACATTTGATTACATGCATAATTTTTTAGCTTTCAATGATATAAAATAGCTCATTATATAATATAGAACAACTTCCCAACTGTAGACTTAGTTGTTTCCCCAAGTGTCTTGAAATACATATACATATACATATATACATATATATGTATATATAGCCATCCATTTCTAGCTCCTAGAAGGGGCTCTGTATATACATATATCTTCATTTTGAAGTGAATAGAATTACTCAGCTCTAAATAAGAGTACAAATGTTCAATTCTAATCATTGAATCTTTTCATTAATCCAGCCATCTGTTCCAAATAAATGACGTAGGACAGCTGGCATCACTTTTAGTTTTCCAGATCACAGAAAGATTTCTGCTGGGGCATAATTTTCTATAATATTACAAGTATTATACCTTCATATTTTTTAATATCTGTGGGTGAAGAATACCAGCCTCTGTATTATCAAAATAATTTAACATTTTCTGGTTTTTTTGGCAAATAAGTTATTGAAAATAGGAAAAGGGTAATATCTAAACTCCCCCCAAATACAGTGAATCTTTATGAAAATAAGTTAATAAATATAACTTACTCTAGAAGTATAAGAATGTTTATGAGCTCCTGGGGAGATACTTTATTCCAGTAAGATAAGAGAGTATCTGAAAATGGAATAAAGCGTTAGATCTTGAAAACTGAGAGTAAACAGTGCAGTGAATGTACTTAAAACAACCATCAATTCACAGTCTTGTTTCATCAATATTCTCCTCACCCCTCCCGCTGGCCCAACAACCCCCCACCCCCCGCTTTGGTGCTGGAGTTTGAACTCCTAGCCTCTTGATTGCTAAGCAAGCCTTCCACTGCTTGGGCCACACATCTATACTCTCCACCTCCCTTTATTTTTTGAGACAGGATCTTGCTATGAGGCCCAATCTAGCCTCAAATTCGTTATCATCCTGCCTTAGCCTCCACAGTGCTGGGATCACAGACTTAAACCACCACGCCCGGTTTATACACTGTATTCATTTGAATTTAATTTCAAATGTATCATTGTATCTGTTATTATTTCTTTTCTTATCATCCCTGAAGTCAGAAGAAGGGAAGTTGTGTTAAAACCTGCTTCTTTTTTTTTTTTTTTGGCAGCACTTGGGTTTGAACTCAGGGCTTCCCACTTGCTAGATGGGCGTTCTACCACTTGAGCCACTCCACCAGCCCCAAGGCCTGTTTTTTTTCTTAAAACAAACTCTAAAATCTTATTCAAGATGATAGGTTTATGTACATTTTTCTGAGGAGAGGATCATGTGCCTTTTCCTGCCACTGAAAGGGCTCTGTGAACCAAAATGTTTAAGAACTTTAGAGGAAGGGAAAGATAATTTTTCTTTTATGCCCCTTCTTTGCCTTTGGATGGAAAACTCTGACTTTTTTTTCTATCTAACCACCTATTGTCTATCCATGAAACAACAATTTCATACAGAAAAGTCCTGTAAATCTATCATCTATACTTCTTTATTTCCCCAACACCATCTTACTGGTATTTTTAAACAAGAAATTGTTGGGAGGTTGTGTGCAAAAAATTAAAAATATTAAAATAGTGTCAGTATTTATCTTACTATTCCTTTTTTTATCCTACTGATCTAGCTAATGGTATCAGCGGACCTTCTAAATGTAAAACTCTTATAAAAAATAGTAAATAATTCAATTTCCTTCGAAGTGGGATGAGACTATGTTGACTTTATCGTAGGGTGAAGGGCTTGAGACAGTATGAGGGGTTTTTGATTTAGCTACTTCTAATTTTTTTAAGTCCATGAATATTGAAAGTTTTTGATCATTACAAAACATTGATCTGCAAGAATAAAAATGTTAAAATAGAATTAAGTCTAATTTTTAAAAATTAAGCTATTGGTGACTTCCAGTCTCCCCCCCTGCTCTTTGGTGTCTGCCCAGAGAGGAGGCGGTATTTCCCCAGAATGCACTGGGTTTCCGGTCTTTCGCCGCCTCGCACTCCGCCATCTTTGAAGGTCGGCGCTCTCCTCACCCACGTCTCCGTGTGGCTTTTCTCAAGAAAAACCTGTTACCGCCTGCCTAGAACAAACCTTGGACCTTCTCTTTATCCTTGAACAACCACTCTTCCTAACGCCGTGCGCTAAGGCGGCTTCCTGGAAGGTCTGTAAAAGGGGGTGGAAGGGCTAATTGCTGTGGCGCCTGCTCCCAACAGCGGCTCCTGCGCCATTTTCTCAGCGGCATTATCAAGTGACCTGGACTATTGCAGTCGTTTCCTAAGCCTTAAAACATGATGCAGGCAGGCCCCAGCCACGGAGACGGGGAAGGTAGCAAGAACTATTCAGGAGGAGATAAATCACAGTTTAATCTGTGTGATTCCTCATCTGATGAGTTTACAAAGGCGTGGTTGGCATTAAAAGAGGTCCATGATAAAGAGCTTCACCATTTACAGGCAAAATTAACCGCTATGAGAAAAGCGCAATTGATAGATGGAAGGCGGATAGGCTTGTACTCCATAATTAAATCAATAACTCAACAGTATGACGTTTTCAATGACCTCATTCATGTTTTGCGAGATCAGTTAAGCTCAAAAACATGTGACCACTGTCTAATGAACGAAGCATGTAAGAACAAACTGCTGCAAGAATTTAGTAATATGCAACAACAAAATCATAAATATATTGCTGAATTCCATGCAGAAAGGAAGAAGTTAGAACAACAAAATAAAAGCCTTTCTGCAAGAATAAAAGCGAGTAAGCAACACTATTACACTTTTTCTGATAGCGATGACGATGATTTCATTCCTTGTACTCAAAAGACTAAATCAGTTTTTAGGGTCAAGGATCCTTCAGAAGCAACTCCAGTGCATTTGCCTACTAGGCCACTACAGGTAACACCTATTAAACAGATGCCATCTAGATACAAAAGGAAAATGGAACGAAGGTCAAAGATTGCCATTTCATTCCTTAGCCAAGATTTGTTTGATATGCCAGAAACCTCTTTTGAGAAAACCTATAATAATGACGAGCCTACCACAGAATGCAGTACCAACCAGAAGTCATTTTTAGGTTTTTCTTTAATGTCTACAGTTGAGTCTCAAAAGCAGGATGGGTTTCAAGGTATCAAAAACCATCCTGAAGTCAAAGTTGGCCAGTTAAAGAGGAAACTTGAAACAAATGTCATAGAAAAGGAATCCATGCAACAGTGGGACAGTAGGATTAGATCACCTTGGAGCATTTCCAGTGATTCCTCAGAAACCATACCTATTTACCCTGCATCTCAATCTTCAGAGGAAAATATGCCTGATTATAATAGTTGCTTACTTCCCTCTTTTAAACAGAAAAAGGAAGTGCTCCCTTTGAATATATTTCCTTTAGACTATACTTCAAGATCTAATAGGAAAAAAAGATCAACATTTGCTATTCCTTGTTACGATATTGGGTTTTCAGTGGCATCTGGTAGCTCTGGGATGCCTTCCAAAGAAGTTGTTTTGAAGAGTGTTAGTCAATCTACAGGTACAGGGTATGGTACAGAGAAGTCTGAAAGTGATTCTGACAGCAAGCAGCTTTTTGGTGCCAGGGCCAAAAAGAGAAGTCGTGTTACTTTCCAAAAAAAGAAGTAGTTGGCCCTCATGTTCTCTTTTAAGGAAACTGCTTTGTTTTCAAGAGGACAGTCTTCTTGTCAATTAAGACTGTGTAACTGATAACTCCTGACTCTGATTTCTTTTTCAGGATATAACAAAGCAATAAGACCTAAAAATGGTAAATGACTCAAGATTCTGAAATAATGAATTGTTGTTACTTAATAAAATACAGCTACAAATACAGAAGGAAATTCATTCTTCAGAATCCCTCTACTTCCATACAAAAGTGTACTGGTGAATCGTTTTGTTGACATTAAAGTTGCTACTGTTTATGACAAAATTAATATGAAAGCCAAGAGAGTACCTGAGGGTGTGGACTTGTAAGAGAATAACATTTAAATGGACATAAAGTAGAATATTTACTGGACAAGAAAAGGTAATTAGAATGCATCCATTGTGACTTTATTTGTACAAAAGAAAAAAGAGATGCAACAAACTTACTGAGAATGAATGAGAAAAGGCAACTAGACTGTATCCATTGAAAAGACTCCAGAAGCAGACATTTGACATAATAAAACAAACATGACTTTACAGATGGACATTGTGCAAAAACCAAAAAGCAAGAGAAGAAAAAAAGACTAATTACCAAAGAACAAATATTTCAGAGAGAGTAAGAAGTCAACATTTACAAGAAGAGCAACTATTAAGTTCACAAGAAATAAGTCATGGTTTACTCATTACATAAAAAAATGCAGCCAGACTTGTCTCTGGTTAGCATAGTATGTGCTTGTGGTGGTGGTGGTGTGTGTGTGTTGTGTGCCTGTGTGTGTGCTGGATTGGAGGAGGAGAGAACTGGTCTGTAATGCATCTGTTCTTTCCCTTCTCAGTTTTCTCTCTCTTACTTTCTTTGGGCTGTTGTAGTATTCAACCATTTTTATTTTTTCAGGTTTTTTTTTTTCATTTTATTTCTTGGGTGTCTTAAAAAAAAGAGTGAATTCATTTACCATAAAATTCTCCACATAATCCACAATACAGTAGTTTATATAGTATATTCACAGTTAGGAAACCATCACAATTGTAACTTTTAGATATTTTAATGGCACTAACATAAACATCAGCAATTAATTTCCATATTCTCCCACTTTTAACATTGTAGTAAGACAGAAGCAGTGAGTGGTGGCTGTAGTTGATAGCTGATTAATCATCTAGAACGAAGCACCACTGGTGTTAAAAATTATTTTACGTCTTTCCCAAAACATGGAGGCCTATTATGTAGCCTCAATATAATCTTCGACTATTGCTCTTAATTGTTCATTCCTGGAACTTAAAGGTTCCAGGGTTTTTTTTTTTTTTTGTTTTACTAATGTGCTTTAGATTTTATTATTAATATAGGGCTGATGGTTTGTTTTAATATTTCTCTAGCTAGTTTTCAAGACGTCTTGTCTAGATAGCTAGTTGTCTTTAATATCTTTATGTTCTGCATTACTATGTAAATATTTAAAACATTATATTTACTAAAATAAATTTTAAAAATAGGCTGGAGGTTTGGCTCATGAGCTAGGCCCTGGGTTCAAATCTCCAGTACCAAAAAAAAGTTTTACATGTGGCTTGGGTCTTTAGCTCAGCAGTGAAGCACTTGGGTAAGCATGTGTGAAGCCCTGGGTTTGATCCCCAGGTCCAGAAAACAACAAAAAAAGCCAAAAAAAGAAAAAGAAAAGAAAATATAATAATGAATATGGTGCTCAGAACTCAGGTGTTTGGGCTTTATTTTAAATTATTTATTTTTGCAGTGCTGGGGATTAATTTTATTTTATTTTATTTTTTTGTCTTTTTTGTTTTGCTTTTTTTTTCTATTTTTTCCTTTTTTTTTTTTTTTTTCGGTGCTGGGGACCGAACTCAGGGCCTTACACTTGCCAGGCAAGCGCTCTTCCACTGAGCTAAATCCCCAACCCCTAATTTTATTTTTTTTGGTGGTGCTGGGGATTGGGCCCAGGGCCTCGCACATACTATGCATGTACTCTAATACTGAGTTATACCTCCAGCTCTTAACTATTTAAACTGTACATATTTATAAGGTACCATATATTTCAATACATGCATGCATTGTGTAATGCTTCACTTTTATGTTCTTTATTCTTGCATGCTTTTTTGAGCTAAAATACTAAGAAAAGGAAGAAGAGGGAGGGAATTGTGTGGACAAAAGATAAAATAATCTGATTTTATTTCCAGAGGCCATGCAGTTAATCCTTTGGTTATATTCCCTTCTATATTTATATAGAAGCTGGTAACATTAGTAATATACCGTTCTACATCAAGGAGAAATGCAGACTGACAACCTGACACCAGACCATACCAGTGATGTTGCAGAGATAATGATGGCATCCCTACCCTCGGAGAGCCCTTTTTGTCTTTTTATTTGTTTCTGATTTTTCAAATCCTGGTCAAATAAATGTTAAAGTATTAACTATGAATTGTAGTCATTATTTCCATGGGAAAATGTTTAGCTCTTCTAAAATTATTGGATCATTTTATAAATTAATATATAAAATTTAAAAAAATTGTTTCAAAGGACCAAACTTGTATGATTAATATGAGCTTAATTTTTTTTGTAGTACTAGGGTTTGAACTTAGGGCTCCATGTTTGGTAGGCAGGAACTCTACCACATGAGCCACACCTCTAGTGTGTTTTTGCTCTTGTTTTGGAGGTAAGATACGGTTTCACCTTTTACTAGTAAGGGCTGGTCTGGACCACGATCCTCCTATTGGGATGACAAGTATGTGTCACTGTGCCCTGCTATTGGTTGAGATGGAGTCTCGTGAACTTTTTCTGGGACTGCCTCAAACTGTGATCCTCCCGATTGCAGCCTCCCAAGCAGCTAGGATTACAGGTGTAAGTGACCAGTACCTGGCTTAATATGAATTTCTTTTAAGGGACATTTGAAGTTCAGAGTTTTTCAAGATCTGTTTCTAATGTGCTCCACTTGCCTTGCAGATGATGGTCTGTGAGCCTGTGAGGGTGAGCAGCTAGTAGAGTTCATGTTGAATATATTGGTAACTCACCTTCAGAAATCATTTTTACTATATATAGGTAGCACATCAAGAGGCTTCTGATTTCATACTGATCCAGCCGGTTATACTGGGATATACTACTCCTTGTAGAATTCTGTCGAGTCTGTAATATAAAGACGGGACATTTGTGAAACTAGAAGTATAACAATTTTCCATAGTTTTAAAGTCAGTAATTATTTTTTTTTATCACTAATCCTACTTGAGAAAATTCTAAACTTCAATTTAAATTTTATATCACATTTGGCAGGTAAATAGGCTGAATTTTTATTGCTACAGTACCTAGTAATATCAATAGAAATTACTTTGGGATCTCCATAAAGATAGAGCCATGAAAGCTGTGTATGTTTGCTTCTCATATGCCCTGTGTTTTAGTAGGAAAGTTTTAAAATAACCATACATGGCTCTTTCATGAAAAATAACTTTCATAGGGAGGAGGAATTTAAGATATGTGAGAGCATAAGAAACTAATTTTAGAGCTGGAGATAAGAGTTCAGAAGTAGAGCACTTGCCTAGCATGCACAGTGCCCTGGGTTTGATCCTCAACACTGCAAAAAACTTTTTTTTTAACTCTTCAATTTGAATCTCTAGAGTTGATTAAAATACAACCTCCAATCACAGGTTAGATTATCTAATAATGGTTAATGATTCTATGATAAGGTAATTACAGTAAGGAGGACATACTAATGTTTCAAAATTAGAGCCTCTATAAAGTAATGTTCCTATTATCTAATAAGGTCTGTTTAAATATCAGAAGTTAAGCTGACAGATCTGACTTATTTGGGGGATTTATCATGGTTTGAGGCCAGCCTTGGTAAGTTTGTGAAACCCCATCTTGACTAATAAACTGAGTGTGGTAGTGCCACACTTGTCATCCCAGCCACATGACAAGCATAAAGAGGGGAACTATGGTCCAGCCTGGTCCAGGCAAAAATTTTGAAAAATAAAGCAAAAAGGATGTAGCTCAAGTGATAGAGCACCTGCCTGGTAAGTGCAAAGCCCTGTATTTAAACCTCAGTAGAGCAATAAATAAATAAATAAAAGAATTTATTCTTGTTAAAAAAATACTTTCAGCTGAACTAAACTAGGGTGCATAATTACTCAGGTAGGATTTACTAAGAAAGAACTTGCACTTGGAGCAAAACAGACCTAGGCTGTGATTGCTTCCTAGCTGTGTGACTACTAGTGAGTCATGTAACTGCTCCAACATTTATTTCCTTTATATGAGGGTGCCTGCTGTCATAATTCTAAATGGTGTGAAATAGGAACCTTTGTGAAGCACTACTTATTCAAAGGCTCAAGGATGTATATATACTTCAGTGGTTCTCAAGGGGTGTTTCCCAGGTAGCAGCATCAGCATTACCTAGGGCTTAGCAATGCAACTTAGCAGACCCTGTTCCAAACCCGCTGAATCTCACTTATTATGCCCTTCAGGTAATTCTGATGCACACTAAGACTTCCATGAAGCCAGGCACTGATGGTTCATGCCTGTAATCCTAGCTACTTGGGAGGCTGAGATCAGAAGGATTGTAGTTCAAGGCCAGCCCAGGCAAAAAGTCTGCAATATTCCATCTCCAAAATAACCAGAGCAAAATGGGCTGGAGGTATGGCCCAAGCAATAGCACAAAGCCCTGAGTTCAAACCCCAATCCCACACAAAAAAATGACTGCCATGATATAGTAGAAAAAGAGTTGGAATTTAAAAATCTGGGTACAGATGTGGCTATGCTATAGCTGCGTCGCTGTTCTAAGTCGGGACCCCAGTTTTCATTTGTAAATTGAGAGTTGGAGTTTATTATTTTTATGGACACTTCTAACTCATTTTATGTGATTCTATGATTTTATATAGCACTGTGGCAAAACTTTCCTGGTCAAAAATGCAGTCTCAAGGCAGACACGTTTCACACTGTAAATGTTTATTTTTTTGGTGGTAATGGGGTTTGAACTCAGGGCCTCACATTTGCTAGGCATGGACTCTACCACTTAAGCCACTATGCCAGCCCACATTTCACACTTTAATGTTAGTCTTAAAACAATGTGATGGAAAAGTTGGAGGACATATTCTAGTTAGATGACACTGAGACTCAGACTATCAACTTGGGGACCTAAACTTTTTTCTCTTAAGTTAATGCCATTATTACAAAAGAATAAAAGAAAGGCTGAAGTAATCCTGCCAGGATGTGCTTTGATTTAAATGAAAAGGTACATTAGATATATTCATCCTGAACCTTCTCTGTCTCAGGAAGTGTGCTTGGGTAAAAGTAGATATTCAGGGTGAGAATGCTTGAAGATGAGTGCCTTTTTCTCTATAAATAGTTTAAGATGTCCAAGTAAACTGAGCATGGTGGTGTGCACCTGTAGTCCTAATTACTAGGGAGGATGAAGCAGGAGGATTATTTTCTACCAGCTTTAGTCCAGGTTGGGCAACACAGCAAGATCCTAGCTCTAAAGATAAACCAGAAGACCTAGGCAGGAGGATTGTGAGTTTGAAGCCAGCCTGGGCTGTACAGCAAAACCATCTCAACCCCACATCCCACCGAAATCTCATATTGATAAAGACAACTGGAGGATAGGGACTGCTCAAATATCTAAGAATTATGGGATTTTTTTTTTTACAGATTCAGGATGGACTGTAGAACAGAGAGCTTCATATCTATTTTAGAAGACTACGGTAGTCTAACACATCACCAGAGTTATGCTATATATTTAGGTTCTTACAGTTTCACCAGTGCTGCCCTGATCTGGAAATCCTGTTGCTCCTTCTGGGATAAGGGAACCTCTAGAATCTTCCCTTTTAATTCCATGTCCATTTTGAAAAGATCCATAAGCTGGAAAAAAAAGCCAAGTCCTTGTTAACAACAGGAGGAACCCTCAAAATATTTTTAAAACTAAGTACTACATTAATTAAAGATATATTATAGGGAATAAGTAGATCTTGGTCACCCTAAAATGTGAAATTTATATATTATATATTATATTAAAACACCACAGGAAACCAAATAAAAGCTAAGCAATTTTTTTCTCTCAAAATACTTTGCTATGTATAAAACTATAACAAATTGCTTGGAAGCCAGGTGCTGGTGGCTCATGCCTACAATCCTAGCTACTTGGGAAGCAGAAATCAGGAGGATGAAGGTTTGAAGCTAGGTCGAGATCTTGAAAATACCCTACAAAATAAGGGCTGGCAGGGTGGCTCAAGTGGTAAGAGTGTCTGCTCAGCAAGCATGAGGCTCTGAGTTCAAACCCCCATATTACCAAAACAATTGCTTGAAAGTCATGAAATAAAGCCACATAATTCAAGAGATGGTTTTATAGATAAGAAAACTTGGGCCCAGAAAAGGGAAGTGTCTTGCCCCAAATTGGTGACAGACAAGAGGAGGGGAAACCAGTGTTTTCTCATTACCTTTTATTTTCTGTTTACCAAACTATGTTTTAAAAAAGCTTAGACAACTTAGGCAAAGAAATATGGTTGTAAGGGTGAATCACATTTTAAAATTTAGTAGCGATCATGCTACGTATAGTTTTCTTAAGAAATATTTCAAAAAAAGAAATACAAGGTACATGTCTAAACACTCATGCAGGTTGGTGGAGTGGCTCATCAAGCAGTAAAAGCACCTGAATAGTAAGCATGAGGCCCTGAGTTCAAGTCCCAGTGCCACCAAAAAAATAACACTCATGTAACACATCCTCTTTAAGAGAGTGAATTACCTGTGTCTTTGTCAGTGCTCAGACTCCCTCTGTTGGTAGGTGAAGTAAAGCCACATGGAAACTCATCCCTGGATGTCTGTAACAGAATGTGACACCTGTATCATTTAAACCAATTTGTATATTAGCATAAGAAATCTGGAGGAGATTCCAAGATGGCGACTAGAAGGAGGAACCAGAAAGCGTGCTTCCTAAAGTAGAATCTTGGAGAGACGTTGGAGATACACCTTACAGGAAAAACCACCAAGAAGAGGCAAAACCCCGACTCCTCTACAGTCCCAGCTAGCGCATAGCATCCCCACTCTACGGTAAGTGGAGAAACCAGGAGGGCTCCTGCGCCGCCAGATGCCAGATTCTACCAGCTCAAGAGAAGCAGAACACCAGGTGAGCTAAGCGGCACATGGTACTCCCACAAACAACCCTGGGCCAGATCAGCATAGCCCCCTGGAAAGACCAACCCCCACCCAGGGAAAAAAGAGAAAAAAACCAAACTGATTAATAAAGAACAACAACAAAAAAAGACATGTAGCAAAGAGGGCAGAGGCAGGGGAGGGGCAATCCCTCACGGAACAGTAAATAAACAAGCCGGGCCAGAGAAGGCAGGAGCAGTGGCACCCGCCCAGCAACCACGAGTGGGAAAGCTTGTAAAAGCGGCAGCGGGAGGAAAACTCCACAGGAAGAGTGGGGAAGGCCCACTTCCCATATGAACTATAAATAAACATGCTGGCCTGAGAAAGCTGGTGCAGTGTCACCTCCCCCAGTGTGCTTGGAAAGGGGAAAGCTTGTAACAATGGCGGTCATGCACAGGAGAACTCTCAATAAACAAAACCTGCAGGGCTAGGTGAGTGTTAAGTTCACTCCTGAGATCTGCAATAAATAAAGCCTCCCAAAACAGCTGGCTGACAGCAGTGGGAAGGTGAGCCACAGCCTCAGATAGCCATTCACAAAGCTGTCTCCAGACCCTTTTTTTTTCCTCTTTCTTTTTCTCTTCCTTTGATGAGACAATGACTGAACTACAATTGCATGCTGAAAGACTTAGTGAAACTGTATTGCATTTGAACTTGGGATATTTTGTTGAGTTTTGTTTTTTTTTGTTTCTTTGTTTCTTTTTCCCCTTTGATGAGACAATGACAGAACTACTTCTGAGACACCATCTGCAGGATTGGAGGATGAGGGACTAACATCAAAATTATTAAGACTGAAATTTTATTGCATTTGAACTTGGGGATTTTTTTTAATCCTCTCTCTGTCTCTCTAATGCCTGTTTAGCTTACCGTTGATCAATACACTACCTCTCCCTGTTTATTTCTCTGACGCTGGTTTTTTTGTTGTTTGTTTTGTTTTTTAAAACTTGTTTGTTTGTTTGTTTTTCCCTTTTTCTTTACCTTCTTTTCTTTCCCTCTCCTCTCACCCTTCCATTCTAGATATCACCATTGTTATTATTACAAGCTAGAAAATACTTAATTGCACACAGTACAGGGACAGTAACAGTAGCAAGGGCAATGATGGGAAGACAGAAAAAAGAGGGAAACCAGTTTCCCCATAGCAAAAAATTAGTACAGGAACCAGAGGGAAATGAAGAAAACAGATACTCGATCCAGGCTCCAACAAAAACGAAGATAAACTATGCCAAAGAACCAATGAAGCCCACAAGAACATCCTGAAAGAAGAAATCCTGCAAGTAATCAATGAGAATTTTATAGAGATGATACTGGATATGGTCAACCAAAATGTACAGGAGAAATTCCAAGACAACAAAAATAGAGAATTTGAGAAAGCACAAGAACAAATAAAGAAACATAGAAGCACTGTATAAACACCAAAGTGAAACAAAGAACACATTAATAAAGAGAATATGAAAAAGAGAAAATATATTAAAGAGGAAGACTCAGGAATGGAAAACCTCAGAAAAAAGAATGAAACAGAAATGCAAAACAAAATGGAAGGCCAATCCAGCAGAATAGAACAAGCAGAAGACAGAATCTCAGAACTTGAAGATGAAATGGTAATTAAAGGAAAACTGAAGAACTATTAGTTAAACAACTCAAGACCTGTGAAAAGAAAATGCAAGAACTCACGACTCCATCAAAGACCAAACCTGAGAATCATGGGCATTGAAAAGAAGGAGAAGGGTGCAAGAAAGGAATGCATAATATATTCAACACAATAATACAGAAATTTCCCAAATCTAGAGAAATCTATGCCATACAGATGCACGAGGCCTCCAGAACACAAAAGACCAGACCAAAATAGAACTACACACATATTATCATTAAAACAACAAGTACAGAGACTCAAAGAAAAATATTGAAGGCTGTAAGAGAGAAAAAACAAATAAACATACAAAGGTAAACCCATCAAAATCAGCAGACTTCTCAACAGAAACATTAAAAGCAAGAAGAGCTTGGGGTGAGGTCTTCCGGACTGAATGAAAATAATTCAACCCTAGGATACTCTACAGCAAAAACTATCATTCAAAATAGATGGACAATAAAAGTCTTCCATGATAACAGAAACTAAAACAATATGTGACCACAAGCCACTACAAAAGATTCTTTCAAGGGATTCTGCCACAGAAAGTGAAACCCAACATAACCATGAAAGGGCAGGCAGCACCAAACTACAGGAAAAAGAAAAAGCAAGAAAGTAGAGAGTAACCTCGAACTTAGCTACACACAATCAAACTTCAAACAACTAAGACAACTAAATGACAGGAATCAACACATACCTATCAATACTAACACTTAATGTTAATGGACTTAATTCCCCATCAAAAGCACCATTTGAATGAACTGGATTAAAAAAGGAAGATCCAACAATTTGTTGCTTACAGGAGACCCATCTCACCAACAGAAATAAGCATAGGCTTAGATGAAAGGCTGGAAGATTTACCAAGCCAATGGCCCCTGAAAACAGGCAGGGTGTAGCAATATTAATCTCTGAAAAAGTAGACTTCAAACCTACATTGATTCAAACGAAATAAAAGAAGGACCATTCCCATATTAATAAAAGGGGAAATGACCCAAAAGAAATAACAATTAATCAACCTATATACACTCAATGTCAATGAGCACCCAATTTATCAAAACATACCCTGAAGGACCTAAAAGCATATATTAAC